TAAGCCACGGATGCATCCGAGCATGAGATCGTTGCTAATTCGTACAAGCTGGGATACTTGGATTGCAGGAATAGTGCTTCTCCTTGTCGCCTTCTCGAACAAGCTTTATCTTGACCTGTCCCTACTCAAAGTGAGCAGAGCAATGTTGTGGGTGCAGAAGCAGTTGAAGAGCAGATAGCAGATGAAGCTGCAATGGAGGAAGACAACTCCCAAGGTGGCGTAGCTGATAAGGCTAGGCCAGATGCGAAGGAGCAGGCAGGTGAGGCAGTTGAGTAGATGGTGCATGTTGGCCTCTTTGTTATGGAATTTTCAGTTGTCTTTCAAACTTCAATTTTCATTGTATCCTGTAAGTGTATATCTGGAGATACAGCACTTGAAAGAAACTCCATTGAGTTTGTACTCGTGAAGTAGCTTGCCTACAATGGAGGTAAGGCTTGTCGCCTACGAGCGTATGTCAGGGACACAATGCTCGAAATAAAAAGATTCCATTGAGTTTGTGCTTCGCGAAGCAGCTTGTCTGCAATGGAGATGAGGCTTGTCGCCTACGAGCGTATGTCAGGGACACAATGCTCGAAATAAAAAGATTCCATTGAGTTTGTGCTTCGCGAAGCAGCTTGTCTGCAATGGAGATGAGGCTTGTCGCCTACGAGCGTATGTCAGGGACACAATGCTCGAAATAAAAAGATTCCATTGAGTTTGTGCTTCGCGAAGCAGCTTGTCTGCAATGGAGATGAGGCTTGTCGCCTACGAGCGTATGTCAGGGACACAATGCTCGAAATAAAAAGATTCCATTGAGTTTGTGCTTCGCGAAGCAGCTTGTCTGCAATGGAGATGAGGCTTGTCGCCTACGAGCGTATGTCAGGGACACAATGCTCGAAATAAAAAGATTCCATTGAGTTTGTGCTTCGCGAAGCAGCTTGTCTGCAATGGAGATGAGGCTTGTCGCCTACGAGCGTATGTCAGGGACACAATGCTCGAAATAAAAAGATTCCATTGAGTTTGTGCTTCGCGAAGCAGCTTGTCTGCAATGGAGATGAGGCTTGTCGCCTACGAGCGTATGTCAGGGACACAATGCTCGAAATAAAAAGATTCCATTGAGTTTGTGCTTCGCGAAGCAGCTTGTCTGCAATGGAGATGAGGCTTGTCGCCTACGAGCGTATGTCAGGGACACAATGCTCGAAATAAAAAGATTCCATTGAGTTTGTGCTTCGCGAAGCAGCTTGTCTGCAATGGAGATGAGGCTTGTCGCCTACGAGCGTATGTCAGGGACACAATGCTCGAAATAAAAAGATTCCATTGAGTTTGTGCTTCGCGAAGCAGCTTGTCTGCAATGGAGATGAGGCTTGTCGCCTACGAGCGTATGTCAGGGACACAATGCTCGAAATAAAAAGATTCCATTGAGTTTGTGCTTCGCGAAGCAGCTTGTCTGCAATGGAGATGAGGCTTGTCGCCTACGAGCGTATGTCAGGGACACAATGCTCGAAATAAAAAGATTCCATTGAGTTTGTGCTTCGCGAAGCAGCTTGTCTGCAATGGAGATGAGGCTTGTCGCCTACGAGCGTATGTCAGGGACACAATGCTCGAAATAAAAAGATTCCATTGAGTTTGTGCTTCGCGAAGCAGCTTGTCTGCAATGGAGATGAGGCTTGTCGCCTACGAGCGTATGTCAGGGACACAATGCTCGAAATAAAAAGATTCCATTGAGTTTGTGCTTCGCGAAGCAGCTTGTCTGCAATGGAGATGAGGCTTGTCGCCTACGAGCGTATGTCAGGGACACAATGCTCGAAATAAAAAGATTCCATTGAGTTTGTGCTTCGCGAAGCAGCTTGTCTGCAATGGAGATGAGGCTTGTCGCCTACGAGCGTATGTCAGGGACACAATGCTCGAAATAAAAAGATTCCATTGAGTTTGTGCTTCGCGAAGCAGCTTGTCTGCAATGGAGATGAGGCTTGTCGCCTACGAGCGTATGTCAGGGACACAATGCTCGAAATAAAAAGATTCCATTGAGTTTGTGCTTCGCGAAGCAGCTTGTCTGCAATGGAGATGAGGCTTGTCGCCTACGAGCGTATGTCAGGGACACAATGCTCGAAATAAAAAGATTCCATTGAGATCTTCGAAGGTGGTGGGCATTCCATTGTCTTGGAATTTCTTTTCCTTCTAGAGTATCAAGGGTGTAACTTCCTCTGCCCCCAGATCGGCTGATCACGTAGGGGCCTTCCCAGTTTGGCTTCATTTTCTTTGACCCTTGCCTTGGTGCTGTGATGAAAGTTTTTCTAAGCACAAGGTCTCCAGGCTGAAACTGTCTTATCTTAGCCTTCTTATTGTAGTAGGACGTCAACTGCTGCTGGTAGGCGGCAACTCGAACAATAGCCTTTTCTCGTTCTTCTTCAAGCAGATCAAGGTTGACTTTCATCTGCTTGCAGTTTTGGTCAAGGCTGCCCACCTCAATGCTCATGGAAGGGACTGTGATGTGTGGGGGAATAATTGCTTCTGTCCCATAGGCCAGGGAAAATGGTGTCTCTCCGGTCGATCTCCTTTTGGTCGTGCGATAAGCCCATAGGACTCCTGGCAGCTCGTCGACCCATTTTCCTTCTGCGCCTTCCAGTCTTTTCTTTAGGCAGTCTAGCACTATCTTGTTGGATGCCTCTGCTTGATTTTTCTGGCCTCGGACTTGTCCTTGAGCAGGTTTTCATTCACTAGGTAGTCAATAATTGGGTCTTGC